ATTTATTCCTGCATTTTGGTTATGTTTCTTTCTTTGCATATCGTCACTACAAATTTCACTCATATTAGGGACACAGCTGAGTGGAATCTGCTGCGAAGTGCTGATTAGAACTGCGTGGCATATTGCTGGCATACTGCTATCATTTGGCTATCTGGGTAACTAATTCAAAACTTTATTTTTACATAAATATATTATAAACATTTAGTAAATAAACTTACGTGTAAAAATTATATCATAAAACGAACTTATATATCTTGATTTTTTAGTATAGAATTCTGGCTGTATTGAATAAGTTTCTTGAGGATTCGTCGCATACACCTTCTTCCGAAAATAATGTCACTAATCAGTTATATTACGAAGTTTTAAAATGGACGTGTATTCTTGATGGTTTGAAATGCAAAGATATTGTTATGGCTGAATTCAAGTGGCATGTACAAGATCCTGCAAGACACAAGTACGTTACTTTAGTGACTCAAGAAAAAAATGATTTTGTTGTAAACGTTACTTGGGTGTAGTTACGTTGGTTTACGTATATCAGACTATCACATGAATTTTGATATGTTGTTGTTATTATTATTTTTATGATTATTAATATTATTCTTATTATTCTTATTATTATTATTATTATAAAAAACACAATATCATGTTAGTAGATTTTTTTTTAAGTAAAGTTATACATATTGTTTATTTGCAGACTTTTGCCACGTTGGCAGAGATGGATATTTTGCCAGAGTGTAATAGTAGAAAATTCTTATTCTCCATCTGATGTATGGATTACACTATTGCACATGTATAAAGAACAGTCAAAAGTAGAAGAACTGTTCAATTTCTTACCTTGTTTTAGACATAACACCAATATTTTATTAACTTTTGTTCTCCTTCCCTATTCTTTCCTACCATTATATGGATATAATTTCAACATAAAAGAAAGTGAGAGTATTACTTTTCTTCATAATACGTTTGCAAAGCATATAAAAAGTGTTGGATCGCTTACATCTTTATTACACGTACTAGAAAGTATAAAAGAAACAAGGTAAACAAAAGTAATCTTTGTATATAGATCTTTGCATGATTGCACAATAATTGTTTTACATAGTTTGTATATTTATATTAGATATACTCATTTTTTACATACATTTTTGTAGTGTATCATATAAAAGTATATTTTGTGTAGTATAATAATAAATAACTACTACGTATTACTTGTTTGTTTCATGTTTTGATAGAAACATTAGCATAGCTGCAATAGTGACCTGTATTATTAATCACGTGTATTCAAATGAAATCCTGGCAAAAGTACGTATATTAATAAACTTACGAATGACCTACTTGAGTGCTTTAGCTATATGTGTAATTCATAACTTTTAGTTTTTATTTATGTAATGTTTTTACATGCGTACGTATGTTAAAATCATGAAGTAGTCACCATATCTTTACTTATTTTTGATATATTCAAAAATAACATTACTATGTAATATTGAGTGTTTTTATACAGTGCACATGCATCACATTCAATGATAACAACACACAGTATTTCCAGATTACCGATGAAAATCTTTTCCAAAAGCTGATGGACTTACATCGCACGGTAAATATTTTTAATATTTTATATAATATTTAAGATATTATATAAATATCTTAGTTTTTCAAAATGTGCAGTATTTCTGCTATTCGTAGAGATGTGAATTATTGTTTGCGTATAAACATTTAGTATGGTTTAGTTTTTTTTTACATATATTTTCTACTATTTATTAAAGTTATGCACAATTATACACAATTTAGTTATAATTATATTCTGTAATTTGTTTTAGCCATCGTTCGTTATTGATGCCATTAAAAAAAAAGTTATTACTCGTCGCAATTTTCTAGTTGACATAAGATATAATTTTCGTAAAAAACCTCATGATGCAATTTACAGATATTTATTTTTACAATAATGTGCTTTGTTATTTAAATGTATAAAATCTACCATTTACTAGTGTTGTTGTTTAATACTTATATCACATTTGATTACTGAGTAGTTCTATTTTATGACAACAAAAACTAATTAAAACTTATACTTAAAATCGGTAATACATATTACGAATTTTAGTATAGTTAATAATTTGCGCCAATTGTTCATAAAATAAATTCGGATTCTCAGTAAGATATAATAATTAATAATAAGTTGGGTGGCTAAATTTTGTTTGTATATTTAATATATAGCACTATTCTGCACCTGAATGAATAAATAAACTACACGCTATGTAAAAGGATACAATAAATATTTATATACAATTATGAAAGTAAGAAAATTTCTATCTTGGTTATACTATTATGTGGCGAAATATATTAATCATTACTGTACTAAACCAGAAAATGGTAAATGATGCGTTAATTGTAATCTATTATCTTAATTGTACTTTACAAAATTATTTGTTACAAATTACTAATTTTTAATAAAGAGAGCATTTGCAATTACATTCTCCTGTACCTGTCTAACATTTCTCCACAAAGTGCATTTTTTTTATAAGTTACGAATGAACGCTTTTATATGCAATATAATGAGATACTTTTTTTCTACAAAAAATTGTGTTACTCCCAGATTAAACTTTTTTGCCTGCACTTTCTGTCGTCTATTTTTTTAAAGTATACATCTATCTTACCTGTAAGTATAATCTCTGTTGTAACAACAATCTTTTAAACGTACAAATTATGTATTTTGTTGTAATTTGTATTTGTCGTTTAACTTATTTACTACTTCTACATATTTATATAATAATATAGTCGACTGCATAACTTTTTACATGTATATTTTCTACTGAGCGTCTAGAATAGTCATGTAACATGCATTACACTGGTACGCTCGGACACTCGCAAGTTTAAATATTAGATATTTATTACAATACGAAAAAGCTTTGTTCGAAAAATACGCGTTATTGCGTGATTTTATCTTTTTTTTCTGTCTACTAAAGATAAATTGATGCAATATAGCGCAGATATAGTTGTCTTTTGTAACGCAACATCTATTTACCAGTTTGCCTCAAGTATCAGTCAAAAGCAAAGGTGATGCAAAATCTTGGTTGAAGATCATTACTTTTTATCATATGATTTGGTTTTGGGTATCCAATCGTGCTTTTGGTATGTGTCTTATCATAGCGTAACCCTTACTTAATGTGATATAATTTGTACGTAATTGTAGAGCTCTGTTTAACAGTCTCTACTGTAAGTGGAAAAAAAAATCGCTGTTTGTAAAAATATGATGTAAAACGAAGAAATATTTTTGTGTATAATGGCAACCTTCACTCAGTAAACAAAAGAGAGTAAAGAATCGGTCTTTGCACAGAGAAAGAAAAGAGCGCAAAGTGGCAATAGCGGTGCTCACGAGAGTGATGTGATTGTTGCTAACAGGGATAGCTGTACAGTAAAGTGGTACAAAAATGCGCAAACCGAAAAATTTTCTGTTCGTTCTAATTCTATTCTCTTACTGAATTTAGTGTAGGTTTTAAAGTTTTTTCTGCTCTGATATATGTATTTTTTAGAGAGTAACCTGACATAAGGCACCGTAGTAAAGTTTTTAAGAAATTTTGCGGCTGCTGCACTTAGCATCATACATCCAGAAAAATAGATGTAGTAGAAAAGTAACAATTACTTTTAAACAATACATACGTAATTTTTTTGAATTTGTGCTGCAACCATTACAGAAAAAAGTTCAACTCTTGACCGTACAAAATCACGTTTAATTTGATTGTAAACTTTCATTATTTAGCGTTATGCGTTTAATACTGAGCGTATACAGTCAAGTTGAACGTGATTTCGTACGGTACAATCGATAGGTGAACGTTTTTTCCGTAAGAGAAGTACATTTAAAAACTGTACCGCATTTTTTAAATTTGATTTACTATATTTGTTTAAAAGAAACGAACATTGAACTTATCATCTTCAATACAACATCATATCTAATAAAAGTATTTGCATATTTGACAATGATAATACATATTTCAAAAGTCATATTACAATCACTCTGTACAGTGCGGAGCACCATATCGTGCGCCGTGAGGAGAAGTAGTTCTCCTCCGGCCGCCTCCTACTATCACGCGCCAGCGGCCCGAGATTTAAGAGGGTCCTGGAGTAAGACCCGAAGTCCGCACTGGGGTCTCTGCCCGGAAAGTGGCGCCCTCAGTGGTTAAGTTATTCCGTCCTTCTTTTAAAGTGAGACGGGCAATCGCGCTGTCTATCGCGTCACCGGTCTTTCGTCGCAAG